GATTAGATTCGAATTATTCAAATCGGTGCGTGACCAGATCCCGACCCTGGAGAAGCAAGTCAATCGATTCCCATAGAATAGTCGTTAATTCCAGCCATTGCCGATTCCCTGTTTTCTCAAAATGAATGCGGTCTAACTGAACGTGGTCCTAATAGTGCCAAATCGATGCCCCAATCGCGAGTAGCTTTTTGTTTGTTCCTTGTATACGATGAGATGAGATTACGCGCCATCTGTAGAGCTGACCCTACAACGCAGGGTTGAACGCCTGAACAACAACTGTGTAGTGTTTATAATGAAGGATGCCGTATCTTTCGAGCGGCGCGCACGTATGCTGTAAGGTTGCTGTAGTGCTATCCTGCAGCAGATTCATCCCGTTATGACGTGATTCTGAACATTCCTTTTCCTTTCTCTTTCCTTGACTTCTTAGCTGCAAGCAGTTGACAAAGGCTCTCAGCTTTTGCCTAACCTTTTTACCTTGCGGCTCCATTTCAAGTTATTCCAAAGGTTTTCTCCTTATAATTGTGCTATCCTTGAAAGGGAACGTGCTTCCTTCGTGCCTTCATTAGTTATCGAGAAGATTTTTCCGGAAAAATCTCAATTTTACGGTGGTTTGGGGGCAGCTGTAAGGCTGAGCCTTGGAAAGTGAAAGGGAACCATCTCGGGGGAAGGGCGCACACTAATCGTAACAAGATTATATGTTCAGAAAACCAGGCGAGGTACAGTACCCAGAAAAATTGCGCATGAAATCCAGTATAAGTTGGCTCTGTGAACGCTCATTGAGCAAATTAATTGCTTTATAAAGTGAGCTAGTTTGAGTTACCCAAGTTTGCTGAACTGTGTTATGCGCCTTTCACACAGCTTGGTTGAGCACCTTTCACCATTGACCTGGATTCTTGCGCAAGCTCGAGCGGGAGGGGGGGGAGAAGCTCCGAGCTGAGGCCAGGTAATGAGGGCGACTTCAATCCAGCTTTTCATATGGCAGTCAGTTCTGCGCACATTAATCGTCACAAGGTTACAAACAGACAAAGGATAAAGTCTTCGCCGTTGATCAATCCCTTTGTGGGATGCGGCACGCATTCTACTTCCATTCAGAATCGTAGTGGCTTATTGAATGCGATGTGGCCTATACAATGACTTGCGGGGCCAGCCGATGTACAAGTCAGTGTTTTATCCTCCCAGACAAATCTGGTACCATTTTACCGTTTCCGGAGGGTAGAAGGCCGGGAGTCGAACCGTGATCTAACCCAGGACCGCGCAAGTGGTAGGCGCGCCGCTCGTACTACACTGGCTCCGACTCCAGAAGATTATAAATTCAGAGAGACAGGCGGGATACCCCCACCCCGCAGGATACCCCACCCCGAAACTGCTGTGTCGAACGTGCATCATGAATTGAAAATTGAATAATAATAAATAAATTGAATAGTAGTTTTAGGAAGAGAAACTTCGGAAACAAGTAAAGGTGAAGGTGGAAATGGCGAAATTCCTGCAAGACACCATCGAGGAAATTGCGCTTGAGCGAAGGTCGAAAGCGACTGAAGCAAAAGGCTCCAAAGCTTTAGAGTTTGCTCAGTTTATAAAAAAGGTAAGTAATTCTTGTGATAGTTTCGTGTATGATTCGCAATGCGTGAGAATGACCCTTAATTTTACATAATTCAGATTCGTTCTGAGGGTGGATACGTGTCAAATGAAGAACTCTTCAAATTTTCAAAACTTTTCGAGGATGAGCTGACCTTAGACAATCTTAGCATGAGCCAATTACGGTACGTTTTAAACTGGTGTTGTGCTAGGTTACTGAGTAACTGTAAGGAAAGCAGTTTGGCTTGGTGGAGGCACCGAATGATGCTCAGCTAATTTACTCGGTTACTTGAAAAACACTGACTTTCACATAGTTCGGCCTCCGCTAGCTATTGTGTTGGCCATATCGCATTCGGTAAGCGACCGAGATCCAAGTGTAAGTAGAGTGCCTGTCGCATCTCAAAAGTTGTTGATCAGCACCGATCACTTGCGATCCAAGCGATTGGGTCTCATGTATGAACGCGACCTTATCTTTTTTTATTCGTTTTGAGCGCGAGTCTAGAGATGGGAATATATTATGGGGCTAGTTTTTTCGATTCTTAGACGACGAGTCAGGGATCCGCGATTTTCAGGAATGTACAAGGGAAGGTGTACGTGTCGATCAGGGAAATCCGCCATTCAGGGAAATGTGCGATTCACTAAGGGGCGGAGTTGATCTAATCCTTTGCCGCCTATTCTCCTGCTCGGCGGATTCTCCCCTTTTTGCAGACCATGATCGTCAGCTAAGACTTCGTTCATACTTTGCGTCAGCGTCCGCCAGCGTCCAGGAGTGGAGAGTATGAGGAAGTAGGAGGGTAGCAGACAGCTGGAATAGGGGTCGTGAAATCGGGGCGTGTGCAAGCGCGCTGTGCAACTGCTTAAGCATAGAATTATTAGGTTGTCGCATAAGTTCTTATAGACGACTTTTTTGTAAATATCATCAAAAACGAACCAGCCTGGAGATTAGAGGTATGCACCATCACCATTCACTACTCGACGCCAGCGCTCAGGCAGCTTGTCGATTCCATCCTTCCAGAACGACGGAGGCTGGGACTTGAAGAAGTCGTCGAGCGCCTTTCTGACCTGATCCTTTGTTTCGAACTTTTTTCCGTCCAGATAGCGCTGCAGGTGGCTGAACAGCCAGTAGTCAGAAGGAGCGAGGTCAGGGCTGTAGGGAGGGTGGGCGACCATCAGCCATCCATACTTCTCCAGCTCGGCCTGGGTCGCCTTTGCAGTGTGAGGTCGGGCGTTGTCATGGTGGAAGTAGATTTCCGCATTCCTTCCACGAGTACGGTCGACGTGATCTTATCTTTCCGCAGCTGGGTCACGTATGTGGAAGCGTCAATCCGTCTACCTCCCTTTTCGCGGAGGCAGCTATCCAGTTAATGCCCATGCCTCTTCTGGACCACCAACAGGACAGGAGAACCTTTTTGGGGTGAAGGTCGGCCTTTGGGGTGGCTTCTGGCTGTTCTCCTTTGTCGACCCACTGCCGCTTCCTCACAGGGTTATCGTAGAGGACCCACTTCTCATCTCCAGTGATCATCGAGTTGAGAAAGTGAAGCCTCTTTTGGAAAGTGAGGAGAGAAGTGCAGGTGGTCACCCTCCTCGAGAGGTCATAAGCGGACAGTTCATGTGGACTCACAAGTCTGCTACCTTGCCGAGCGTTTCTCAGTCCAAGTGCAAACGCGTCGAATGATCATAGCTAAGCATGGTCGCCATTTCTCTGGTGGTGAGGTACGGGTCCTCCTCCACGGTGGAACGTAGTACTTCCAAATCCAACTCCATCGGCCGACCCGACCTCGGAGCATCTTCGAGAGAAAAGTCTCCTTTCTTGAATTTGGCGAACCAATTCTTGCATGTCATGTAAGAGATGACGTCCTCACACCGTATGTATCCACCTACATTGGATCTGGCCTCCTTTGCATTCCAGCCGAAATCGTGGAGCAAAACCAAACAGTGGCGCAGGTACGTTTTGTCACAGTGCAAATTGTGCGACATTGTGTACTGCAAATGCAAGCTCGGTGAGTGATAGCTAGTGTAATGAAAGAGTATAATGTACACGTCACGCACACGTGATGACGTAATACCAACATCCATGCGAACGAAATAGGAGAGGATCAAACACGTGTATAAGAATTATGCACAACCTAATATATGCAATTTAATGCACGGTATTGTATAGTAGCGCGGAGCAGTTGCAAACGCCACAATTTCGTGAGGCTCAATCCAGCAGTCTGCTCCCTCCTAATTTCCCCTTCCTCTACTTCTGGACGCTTTTCGAGGGTACTAGACGCTCGTGAACGCTGGCGTTCGCAATATGGATAACTATTGTTTCCTGATCGCTGGCGCTGACGAATAGTGGAGACGCTGGCGGTAGGTGGTGGACCCCAGTGGTCAGTGGTGGACGCCGTCACAAAGTATGAACGCAGCATTAGCTCCTTGCTGTTGTGGATTCCTTCTTCGGAATTCGAGTGCTTCTCCTAGTTTCCTCTCCACCGGGCACTTATGTTCTTGTGGATGTTCTTGTGGTTACGCGTACTTTGAGTTCAGACATGCGCTTATTCGTGTGCCGCGAAGAACGATGTCTTCAGTAAGGCTTTCGGATAGCTGGTTGGATTGAAAACCCTTGGGTATCAGCAACTCTTGTCCAGTTTCTCCCATGCAGAATTCTGAACATGACGCACACTCTCTTCCACCAAAGTTTTCATCAAAAGACAGTTCTTTCGTTCCTCCCGGCAGTAAGCACAGTTTTCGCGGCCACATCGGTCTTCGTACACTCGTGACGACGTAAGGAAACGACGTAGTGTTGCGGCGGTCGAAATATCAGGCGGATTGGCACCTGCAAACCCCTTATCACACGATTTATATATTTCGCGAAAGAGTGAGAGATAGCGGGCCCCCTGGCATTTGATATGGGACAGCACCTCGCGTGTTTACTTACGCAATCTTTTTTTTTCGGGAATTTTACGCGTTACGGTTTCCATCTTTACTTTCTTTTATACCTTACCATCTTTGATGTTTTGTGTGATACGAAGTCTTCCAAGCAGTGACCATCAAGCTCAACGATTTCCTATTTTATCATTGAAAATCAGTGTAGGTGTTTCCATGCATATCATATCACCTTTCAGTTCATTATGCCGGCTTATGTCAATTCAACCTTTTGGGAGTCCAGAAATTCTCCGTTTCCAACTTCACATGAAACTGCGAGAACTAAAAGCAGATGACAAGGTTAGCCGCAGTAGTGTAGTTTTTGAACACTCTACTTAAACTTGTTTTGTCATTTTCAGAATAATCGATTTGCAATTTCAGCAAATAACAGCCGAAGGCGGTGTCGACGCGTTGAGCACAATTGACTTACAACAAGCCTGTAGAGCGAGAGGAATGAGGGCGGCTGGACTGAGTGAAGAACGACTTCGAGATCAAGTTCGTTTTCCTTCTCTTCCTGTACAGCTGCCAAGAAGCTTTGTAGAAGTTCCACCTACCTGACGGCTTATCGGCCATGATTGGAATAGTTGACTGCGAAAAAAATCGCTCAAACCTTTTTTAGCCTTGGAAGTTTTTTCTACAGTCTGCGATCCTGAATGAAGGAACACCTCTTCCGGAAGGTTTCTATGTATAACGGCAGGCGGAACTCGTGGACGAAGTGGGTGTAGCCGAAGGATTCAGATGCGCATCGACCCAGAGAGTCGGCGCCATGCCGGCTCAAACGCTAGTCTCCTTCCCCCCTCCCCTTTCTTCACGTGGGCGGAGTTCACAGAGAAAGCGGTCACTATCTAGCTCCTTCCTCGTTGGTACCCAATTACTCAGCAATTAGCCACGGTTCGGCGATTCTCCCAGTCCCATTTTCTCACAGTTACTGATTTTCGTCATTTCTCCGATTCGTCATCGTCGCAGACTATGAAAAGTGCTTTAGTGGAATGCGATACTGGGCTGTTCGAATTGGTGAGGTAAGGGGGGTACTCAATGAGATTACGTCGCACACCCTTTTTTATGCTCTCTATTATTGTAGAGCTGGCTCTATACTAGAAAGCGGATCACTCTCTCGAGGGTGAAAGTTGAAAAAAATCCCCCCCCCCTTCTCCAACTCCAGTAGCCTTCTAGAGTTTTTTAAGCAGCCATCTTCCCTTCGTTGGTCAGTCTGTGTTCGTAAGTTATTAGTTTTGCGGCTTAATTCATCGTGAATTTTACAGTTGAAACAGTGGCTGGAACTCTCGCTTAGCGACAAAGTACCACCATCTCTGCTCCTGTTATCCAGGACATTGTATCTACCAGAGGATATCTCCTTCACCGACAGGCTGAAATCGCTCGTTCAAAACCTACCCGAAAGTGGGTCATTTTACATAAATCATGCCCTATTGATGTTCTGCGGATAATTCATAGCTTTCTGAGTCTTACTTTTTGACTTAGTCGCCTTTTAAGATGTTGCTGAAAGTACACGGCAAAAGTTGACCGAGTTGGAAGGTGGACAAGTCGGTTACAAGGAAAGACTGGATCTTATCAGGCAAATAGAAGAAGCCATAGCAAAGGAGAAAGCAATGGAAGAAGCAAAGAAGCGCGAAGAAGAGGTTTGGCAGTTTTCCAATTGGTGTCTTTTGGGTGGCCAACATAATTAATAAGGATTTTTCGACACAGTTCGGCTTGGTGGGGGCAACCAATGTTTCTCAGCGAGGACTGTACAGGCTACCTCGTAAAGACCTGTAAACCTTTGTAACCGACCGCAACCTCACACGAGTTTACAGCTTCACCGAAATGAACTTGAAAAAAAAACTAGCGAAACTGGGAAATGTCCCCTCCCAAGCCGGACAGCGCCAGTATTTTTTTTTTCGTTCTTTATAAATCTAAAACGACGAGAAACTAGCAAAATTTCAATAAGCTTGTTTAGCTGCTTCTGTAGTCCATGAGTTGAGGGAGAGGGGGGCAGGCTAACTAGGTCGTGTTGTCCGTTACAGAAATTTTTTGTTATCAGCTCAGAAGCTATTGATTTTCAGAAACAAAGAATTCTTATGGAAGAAGCCGAGAAAGAGAAAGCGAGTGTTGGTGTAGCTCCGGCGGCAGTCATAGCTTCTTCAAAGGAAACTTCTGAGAAGCTCGCCAAAGCTACTAGTGCTGCAGACGAAGCGCTGGATGCTATGAAGGTTTGTGCCAATTTCGTTATCATTCCCGGAAGTCCACGCTGTAACCAATTAGTGAAGTACCAGGTTAACTGAACAGTTCTGAGTAATGCTGCACACGTTCGTATCTCACAGGCTGTGCTCTTATTCACTGCGGAGCTTAGAAACCGCAGAATTCATCAAGGAAGTCCACATGCGGTTGGACTCCGGTAGTTCTCCACTTGGAAAGCGTTCATATTCAGTGTCAGCGTTTCGAGCATAAGCCAGTTTTTTGAGCGATTAGGAACGTGTAGGTATCGATCCGGGGTTTTGAGCATGCCAGCTTTTTGGGCGTACGGTACCGTACGATCAAAACGGTGGATCGACACCTCCACTGTCCTGTTCGCTCAAAACGCTGCCGTGCACTCGAAACGCTGACGCGAAGTGTGAACGCATTCTTAGGTTTAGTTAACGGTATCGATTCGTATCTAGTGCTCTTGGCGCCTTTTTTGATTCACCGGTCTTACTCAATACAACGGTACGGAGCTAAATGATCAGTTCCTATTTACACTTTTTCACAGATACTCCCATTCTACAATGGATCCACTTTGAAGGTTCTTGAATTCTTTAACAAGGCTATTTATGCTATACCAAAGATGGGTTTCCAACCAATCGAACATCATGGGTTCTTTACTTCTCTTCCTCTTTGCAGCCAACCACTAAAATCACTTTATTCTATAATAGTTTATACTTATTCTATTATAGTTTTGTGTGTCGGTTTGTTGGTATGTATGTTTGTGAGTATGTTTTTGTCCGTCCGCAAAATGCTTCACGGGATTCAACATGTAACTGAAAGGAGAAAACGACCGATAGCCAGTCTAGGAACCTTTTGGTGCAGATGTATCATTCCATTGTTTCGACTGCGATAATACCACTATATAAGGCAACCACTTAGTGCACTCCGAGCCATTGCACGGGCTGCTCGCGTGGCAGCTGGGCGTGGGTGCAGTGGGGACAGGGTAGGGAAGAGCAGGGGTTAGGGGGCATGGGGAAGAAGGTAGGGCGAGGGGGGGGGGGGGCGAGGGTAAGTGAGGTTTACTAGGCTGCTCGCGTGGCAGCTGAACGTGGGTGCGTGGAACACGGTAGGGAAGGGCAGAGGCGAAGGGGCATGGGGAAGAAGATAGGGCGAGGGAAAAGATGCCAGTGGGGAGGGCGGGGGACCTGGAGTGCGCTTCAACAGCAGCACACCATAGTGGTGAAAAGAGAAGCATTAGTGAAAACGACAAAAAGAAGAAAGGAAGGATCAACCGCTAGCAGAGTTGCAGGGCAGTGTATAATGTGCTATCGATTTCAGGTGAAAATTCGAATCCGAGCCCATTGCACGGGCTGCTCGCGTGGCAGCTGGACGCGAGCACGTGCAGTGGGACAGGGTAGGGAAGAGGTACGGCGAGGGAGTGAGGAAGGGGTGGGTCGGAGAGGTGGAGTTAATAGGGAGATAGGGGGAGAGGGAGGAGGGCGACCGTAGAGTATGCCTTAGCAATAGCACATCACTACTGTGGGCCCAAAAGCATTAGTGAAGGCGCTAAGTTGAAGAAAAAATGGTCCAATTGCTAGCAGAGTTGCGAACCAGTTCATGTTGTGCTATAAATCAAGCTAACATTGAGAATGTGAATGCATACCGCTTTATATAAAACAACCATTTGGTGTATTCCGAGCCATTGCACAAGATGCTCGCGAGGCAGCTGGACGTGAGCGCGTGATGGATCAGGGTAGGGAAGGGGTTGAGGACTGGAGGGGTGAGGTTGGTGGTTGTACTACTGGGAAGCGTAGAGTTCAACATGAGCACACCGCTAC